TATAAACCGCTTCTTCCTGGTAACAGTCGGTTCTGGAAGTGAGTTGCTTTTCTTTTTGTTTTTTTTTAAGCGAGTGGTTGAAGCAAAATGCAGCGTCTGAGCGCTTTCAGCACAAACAAACACTCCCACGAACTTCTGACCAATCATACAATAAAGTTTGTATGTGTTCCTATGTATATATAGGGGGTGTATATATAGGAGGTGAAAGGTTTGGCCCGTGGGTTGCGACAAGAAGTGCCGAAAATGTCGACAATGCAAACAGGATGACAGTTTTCGTCATGAAACTGCAACAGTTCAGCACGATTTTGGCAGTTCGGCTGCAGCATGCTGGAGCCTTAAGGGAGAGCCCATACACCCTGTGGAGGAAACTCATTATGGCCGCTTGTATCCGTGATAAAAATGAATGTATGTACATTTAATTCATATCTGCTGAAGCACTTTAAGATCACATATACAGTATGAGCCATCACATCAAACCAAGAATTTGGACATACATTATTTATTCAAACTAAACAAACTGCATTTTGAGATTCCTGCTTTTGAAACTACATTTTGACCTAACCTAACCTCAATCATCTTAATATTATAATGAGTCCATAGATGTGACTTAATTTGTTTTGTTACTCAAAAAAACTTGAATTAATTAAGTGCTTAATTCTGTTTTCTGTGTATTCTAATGGGGGTTTCTTGATGAAAGAGGAAAGCATCCATCCATTATCTTAACCTACTTCTTCCTTTCAGGGCCATGGCGGGGGGTTACTGATGCCCATATCTAGTAGTCACAGTGCAAGGGGCRACCTGTTCAGGGTGAAAGAGGAAACCTCAAACCATAATTGGATATCGTAATAGTTATTTGTTGATCTTGCTCAGGAAAATGCTTTAAAACGTTAAAGTAAGATTATATTTTGAACATTTCCTTCAAGTGACCTATTCATGTACATAAATTAATTCCTACCAATTTTCTCACTGCATTATTTGCAAACAAATCCTAAGCTTGTTGGGGAGGGGTTTATATTTAAAAAATATTTTTTGTTAGTTTAAAAAACTAGGCAATAAATGTTGGCTTGGCTTATTTGCAAGGCWAGTACATTGCTACAAGATGTCCTCCCTCAAATGTCAAATTATTTCCAACAGCAGACTCTAATATTCACCAATCTCATCAACTCTTTCTTCAAGTTGTGACCTTTACCAGAACTGGGGGCCACGTGCAGGCTAAACGTCGTCGTTGAAGCACCACAAGTACACAAGTTTGTAGTGCTAAACTTATTAAGACTGTTCATTAACTTCCAGTCATTTATATATCCTAACCCCCAACCCACAAATGGAGTTCCACTAAATTAGGACCAATCTTTGGTTCCCATAAGGATTACTGGTCTTGACAAGGTAGGTGTGTATACCAGAAACGGTCCTAAAAAGGTAACAAATACAAGTACATGTATACACAAACACAGACATACATACCGTGTTCGCCATCTGAAGTCCTGGGTCCATCATACCGAGGATATCGTCACTATAACTAGACTCCAGACTAATAATGTCATCAATGACATCATCCATCTGAAAGCAGTCACGGGGTTGATGAGTTTATAAAACTTGACTAAAACACAAAAAGTAAAAAACACACAAAGGTATTAAATGAGTTCCAACAAACCTCTTTCTCGCAGTTTGAGTTCAGGGTCAGTAAGGCCATAGGGCTGTTGGGGGCGCTGTTGCCCGGCCCCGGCGGCATGCCCCCGTGGTCAGAGGACTGGTTGGGGCAGGGCAAGCTCAATGCCTGGGAGCCAAGCCTTCCCAGGTACCGCTTCACCTGCTGCTGCTGGGAGCGCTGGATGTGGTACTTGGTTGGGTTTTCCAAATGAGTCTGAACCTGTTAGCAGAAAGCACAGAAAGAATAAAAAGACTAAGGATAAAGCAATATTAAAAAAGAGGATAAAGCACGCAGATAAGAGAGAATGATGAAAATAAGTTATGCAACCTAATCAAAGTAGTACACTTATGGTGTTTATGAAAGGACAGAAGCAGTTTTATTTTAAGATGCTGGCAAGAGTTGTTTGTTTTTACACTTGCATTTTGCAGCTCAGTTTGATTTTTAAGCCTCGTTATTCTCCACACAGCATTAATAGTCAAGAAATGTTTCATCAGGCAAATAAAAAAGGTACAAATCAGAGAAAGTGTTAGTCAGACTTTAACACATTTTACTGTAAGTAGAGCAGAGTCGCTGCAATCCAGCTCACATTTAGAGATCTATTTTTAAACCTTTTAACCTTTTGCCTAAATTTCCACTGAAGCATTTAATGAACTGTAGGTAGATAAAACAACATGAATTAAAATGAATGTCGACCAGCTTATATATTTAGAAAYATACCTCATAAGGTTGGTATCCAAGCATCTCAAGCATAATGTCCTCTTTTAGATTGTTAGATTGTGAAACAAAAAATTAAAAAATAAATAGAGATCTATGCGACTGATGCGCCTCGCTGTACAGAGAAAAATTTTCCTCATTTGTTGAAAGGCGAGATAAGTAATTAGCTAYGAATGTTTGGAAATCCCAGTAAACACAATGATCCTTTTCAAGCATGTGCTGTTTTATGCAAAAAAATATATCTTGATGTCATTTGATGTCAGAATATAAAGCTAACAGTTGAACTCTTTGTTTTCTATGGCCACCTCTTAAAACTAAAACATGCCCTGGGTCATTACATTGCCCCATCCACTTAAAAAAACACATTGAGGACAGCCATGTGTTCCCAGTTTACCAGAACACAAAGAATAAAGTCTGCTTTATCCCTGTTTGTCTGCAAGCTTGCATCTCCCCAGGCCTCCTGTTGACTTTTTACTCAGGAAGAACGTTGGTCTCAAAACCACTGAATAGCTGCCTCAGCTACTCAAAACTTCTAAAAACTTCTGATTTATTTGTTGTGCTGACGCTAAGATGATTGTGTTGGTTATCACACCAAAATATGTCACAGGATCTAGATGAAAAAGCTAACTACTGTAATTTACTCTGCATCTGAGAGTACAATAAATTTGAATATGTTTTTAAATTTCAATAACTTATTGAATTTTTGTGAAGATTTGTAATAATACAGCACGCATTTTTTTAAATTAATGCCTTTTTGTGATTTAGTTTATTCTTCCTCAAAACGTTTATAAGGTCATTTTACTCTCCAGTTCATTAAAGACATTTTAAAAACACTAACTTTAAAGTGTTTGCATTATTTTGGTACATATTTGTACTTTTGTTTCAACTTTTTGGGAGGTTTGTGACGCACTGGTAGGGCAACAGACTTGGGACCAAAAAGTCCCATTTTCGATCCTGCACCATACCCATACTGTATCTTGTGGTGTCCTTGAGCAAGACACCTAATTCCTAACTGCTCCCTGGATGCTCACAYAGCTTCCTGCTGCTTTACTTGGGTGCATCACATGTGAGATGCACCCATGTGGTTTAAATGCTGCRCACAAATTTCATCATTGTATAGGAACATGCAATGATGACAGTACATAGCACTTTATTCGGACTTTAGTAATACAGTATATGCAGTGCTGATAGTTTACATTATTGTAGGCCAAGTTCAGACCTGGCAGMTAATATAGGACCATATGATTTCTGAGATGTAGAAATTGTGGACAGAATCGCTRAATTTAACAAACAAAATGGAATYCAGTATAAAATGTGTTTGCATGTTYTTTCTGTGCATGTGTGGGTTTTCTCTGGGTATTCCGGATTCCTCCCTCAGACCATAAACACAAATGTTAGGCTAATTGGCAACTCTAAATTGTCTCTAGGTGTGAGAGGTTATTTTTATTGTTTGCCTCTATGTGTTCTTGTGATGGACTTGCAACCTATCCAGGGTGTACCCCTACCACTTGTGCTTAAAACAAGGCTACACAATATATTGCAAATTTATCATCATCATTGCAATCAGTGAGTGTAATATTATTTTTGTAAAGAACTGCTTGAACTGCAATGAATCATAGGTCATTATATTTCAGGTACAATGTATTCAGGTTCTGAAGGTTAATAATGAATTTGGTTAATCCAACAGACTCTCGCTGGTCTGGATGCCAACACCTGGTTTAGATGATCCAGATGACAGGAGAGGAAGTGAGGAAATGTGAGTTTATTTAAAGAGTATTGCACATTGCAAGTTTTTCCTAGTATCATGCAGCTCTACTGTGCAGCCATAATGTCATATTGCTAAATTGAAACAAAAAAAAAAGGAACAGAAATTTTTGTCTTTTTTAAAAAACATCAGACTAAAGCCATTTTGATTTTAGATACATTGTGTGGAAAATCACAATTTTTACAAATTYTTTATGTTATTTACACCTTCCTGGCTAATAACGAGCTTATTAAGACTGAAGTTTATCCATCTAGATTAGGTTTTGWGATATTTTGTTAGAAAAATAACAACAGTGTGGTTCAAACCACACTGGTGAGATAGAAGAGAAATGTACTTCAGTTCAGGGTATCAAATTGTGGAACAGTTTAGCGAAGGACTTCCAAACTACTGGCAYGATTCATTCATTTAGAACAAGAGTCATAACTTTGTTTTTGAAAAGATATGGGCAGTCTATGTTTGGGTAATTTACTTTTGTTTTTTTTCTTGGCTGTTCATTGGAATGAAAAACAGTAGTTTTTTTGTTGATGTATATTTAGTTCTATTTTTGTAAGTATTTTTGTAAGTATTTTGATATGTATGTATGTATGTATGTATGTATGTACGTGTGTGTGTATATTTATGTATATGTGTATATATATTTAGAGAGATTTTTTTAATTGGGGGCAGATATAGAGACAAGTATTTGACTTTTTGCAGAGATGTTAGACAAATTTAGCTACAACTATTCTAGATGCCAATTTAGTACATGTGTACCAACATATTAATGTGAAGTACCTTAATGAAAGCCAAGTGAAAACTATTTTTGTGATCAACAGTAAGAATCGCAGAAGCAGAAATAGTTCAAGAAGACCATCAGCTGAAACAGTTTTTGGTGAATATAAATAAACTTCTGACAAACTTTGCTAAAAATATCACAGCTCAGTTTTCCACTGTGAATTCAATATGTTTTTTTTTAATTGCAGCTAGCTTTGGAGGAAGAAGTGAGACATCCCAAAATACTTTGCTCCTCTCTACAGTAAGTTTTATTTCTTTTAAAGTTCTAATTAGGCTTTTATAAATTTAAAGACACAAATTACAGACATTAACCCTTCAGATGTTTTATCACTGCATAAAAAACTTTAATAGTTCACACTTGTACACCTCAAACTATTACTCAGCTTGSAATTTTATTCACAGATATATCCAATTCCATTATGTGAACGTGGTCACAGAGATTGGTTCTGATCTATAGATAAARGAAAAGTTCAAATCTTTCCAAGAGGGGTTTTGTGAAAAGGTTACGAACAAATGTCTCACTTGTTGACCCGAGTTTGGACAATTTCATGCAGACTAGATTACTGAGCTAACAGCTAGTTTGAGTGAGGCCAAGACAAAATGGATTGCTGCCATTATTAAAACACCAATATCCAAAAATTTAAAGTACTTCATGAGAATAATATTTAAAGAACTTTAAAATGCAGTGAATTTTACATTAAATATTTATTTAAAAATAAACGTGAAATTCACAAATGAAGTTCTTTAGACTTCACAGAAGTGCTATGGCTAGCTGCTGTTGCCGCTGCTATTTGACCTCATAAAAAACTGAATTCTCTGTAAATAATTACCCACATAGCTGACAGGTGTGGGCCAGACCTGTTGTCAAGCTGACACTGCTGGCATGGCAAATGGTTTATCAGCCARATGTGGGCCAGGTCTGGTGATGACGGCACTGATTTTAAGATGGCATGCTGGTTTGATTTATGTTGTGCATGGCCCAAGCGTGGACCACCTCTGGCAAACCACATCTGGGCCACCAAAGTGATGTCATCCTTTGTTGCATCTGGGCCGAGTGTGCATTGTGTGGGTATGTAACGTGCAATTATTATTACTCAAATGGTCTAACATTGCGTGGACATCGGGAGGTGGGGGTGGGGGCGGGTCACTGGATTGGCAGATTGGAACGGTGGTTCCCTCTCTTTGAAAAGGGGAACCGGAGGGTGTGTTCCAGTTATATAAATCTCCTTAACCTCCTCTTTAAGGTCTATTCAGAGGTATTGGAGGATAGAGTCTGACCGATGGCTGAATCTCGTATTCAGGAGGAACAATGCGGGTTGCATCCTGGCTGTGGAACATGGGACCAACTCTTTACCCATCCCTTGAGGGGGCATGGAAATTTGCCAATCCAGTCCGCATGTGCTTTGTGGACTTGGAGAAGGCATTTGACCATGTACTTCGAGGTACACTCTGGGGAGGTCTGTTGTAATGGCCCATTCAATCCTTACACAAGGGTTGTGACTTTTGAGTAATGAGTTTAATACCAGCTTAATAATATTTTTAACAAATTTAAGACTTTTTGAAGGACCCACAGACACCTGTAAATATTAGCTCAATATATCACCAAGTCAAAGCTATTTTAAATTAGCTTTGGCAGCCATATTTGATTTTTTCCCACTATTTATTATGGAGTTTGCTCTCTGCTAGAAGTATACCAACTTTTAGCTCCAATCTCCATTATTACATTTAAAAAATTGTGCGCTTTGTGTTACTCTCCTCTGTCTGGCAGCCACAGGTAAAGCCCCTGGCATTCATAACATGCTGAATATTCTGACTTTTTTTGTTTAAATCCATAAACACTTGGAGATTCATTCTTTTCATATTTATTGTGCTAGACTTGGTGACCTGGTTGTAAAACTACGATGAACTAAAGTAAAAATTGACTCAAACATAAAAAGTCAATAGTGGCAGCCATTATGTTTAACTGTACACATATATTTCACTTGTTTACTTTGTAATAGGGTTTTAACGTATTTTTGTTGTAAACAATACTTGGGGAAAAAAAGGACTGAACTGAAGAAGGAAAGAAAAAAGTTAAATATCAAACTAGCTCTAATAACAGAATTACTAAACCATTTTTATTATCTGTTAACAACCATTTAAAAAGAGCAAACCAGGGAAATATCAAAATCATGTGGTATTTTTATATGAACTGAAATCTGAAACTCCTCTTTTGTTTTGAGAAAAATCAACTGTATTGTAAGTGATTTAGGTCAACATTTAAAAATAAATTACTATCAGTGGACAAACTGTTGGAGGCATGAAATCTCCTGGTTTGCCTTAAACGCACTGAGATGTTTTGTACATCGCCTTGAACAGCTAAGCTGACGATGACATCACCGAGTGTGTAACACAGTTGAACTCTGAGTAAACAACCAGCTGAAACTTCTAGACAACACTTCCATTTTCATTGCAAAGATGTTTCTTCGGGATATATTAGCAGTTATTAGTAGTCATAGCGGTTCCTCCTCTTTTATACCTGCAGCACTGTCAGTCTGTTCTGTCTGCCTGTAGGGTCTGTGAGACAGCTTTTAAATGTGTTGCAGTCTCGTGTATGTCCTGCATTAACAGCTGCATCATGTCGAATTACCACAAGTCAAAGGAAGAAATGGTTTAAAATTGATTTGTATTTCCTTCTGCATTGTTCCTGTTCTGCAAGTGTGACAGCTTTTCATCATCAAATACGGATCTGGTCTCATTTTAGACATTTGTTGGGCATTGGAATGCTCAGATAGCATTTGCATGCTTACCCGTCATAAAAGATAATAACTCAGGCAGCACTGCACTCAGACAAGCACAAACATGGTTTAAAATATGTATATTAGAAGAAAGGAGCTAGTTTCAAAAATTGGCATTAGCCAAGCTGCTTCAGATAGATTGTTGTATAAATATTCTACTCTCAATTTGTACAAATCTTTGACTAAACCTACTAAAAGAATTATATTTATTAACTGCAGCAGCAGATTCTGACTTGTTTGGCTTGTCGTGACACATGGTCGATAAGGCCACTGATGAGGATTTATTGTAATATTATGCAGAATCTGTGCTGTCACCTGCTTGAAATAAGTCCCTTTGGCTTTGACCCTTTATGAGTTCGTAAAAAAAGCTGCTATAAAACTAGATATACACAGACACATAAATCCTACTGACAAATGTTTTTTCAATTTTTTTCTCCTTTTGCCCAGAAAAATACTAGGTACTGCATAAAAATAGAAACAAAAACAATCTGGAGGATTTTTGCAAGAGTCCCTTAGAGCTTTCCCCAACTTCCTATACCTAGAAAAGTCCTAGTTTTACATTTTCTAAGTCCTACAGGAGGAGCAAAGCAGGCATTAAGGACATAATTTGCACTAGAAAAACATATGGGGTGTCCCAGTTTATTACAGAAGCAATATGGTTACAGTACTCTGTATATACAGGTGGTGTTTGAGGTTTGTCTATAAAAAAAGCCAACATTTCTTCTTGCTACGGTTTCTCAATGCAAACCTAATGTTTAGTTCTAAAACGACAAGTTAAAAATAAAAAAATAACTGAACAGAAAACATCTATTTTAAAACTGAACAAAAAAATAATAATCTAAATTACAGCCAGGAGATAATTTATGATTATAACTGATAACTGCAGGTTTAAACTAAATTATGGGRACTATTTGTACTTTAACATTTTGTTGCATCACAACCATAAACTTCAACAAATTTTACTGGGATTTTATGTAATAGGCCAACACAAGTCAGCATATAACTGGGCAGTGGGAGGGAAATAACTCAAGGTTTTCAAGGTGTGCTCCTTGGTCTTCATGATGCTGTTTGTTTATTAATGTTCTGGAATTACTCAGCAGGACTCTGTTTATTACTTGGGTGACTTCTGAAGGCTACTGGTGGTTCTGGATTTTTGTTAGGTCATAAGCAGTGGGCAYTAGTCCACTAAAGCGCAATTCAGCTAATTGCAGACCTAAATTTCTCTTTTGTGCTATAGGGGTTTTACGAATTTCATAAAAAGATGCGCAAATTTGCGCTTTCTAAATTTTGAATTGAGTAGCGCAAATCACAAATAATGTTTCGCATTCAAACATCAATTTCATCAAAAGCAAAGCTAAATAGCCATCTAGTCTCACTACTTTCAGTAGACACATAATTCATTAAAAAAAATGACCAAGAAGCAGCAGAACTAGCAATCCACAATTATTTTTGGTTTTACAACCATGATTTAAAAGTCCATTTCTAAGAATCACATCCTCATTCTGCGCCAATATGTGCCAATCTGTTAAAGAAAGCGATTTTACTAGTAGATKGTAGTAAAGCTCTGACTTTTCTCTTACCTGAATGTTTTCTGGTAAATGCAGATGATGTTGCGCTTTATATTAGCTTCCGCTAAGTTTTATTSAGTACATGTGCTTTTGAACTTGCGGACCTAAATAAATTTACTTGCGCTTGAGAACTTGCGGAACTAAAATCTAAATTAGAGCTGCCCACCGCTGGTTATAAGATTGACCCAGYAGTGTGTTAAGTTTTCTATCCAAAAAATGGGTGAAAGGGGGCATTTTTCCAGGTGCATAGTTCAGTTCTGTATCACAATCGTGTTATGTACAGTTGTTATGGAAATCCTAACCCAAAAGCTGGGTTATTAGATCACTTGGAGGATCTAATAACAACTATTGGTGTCTACTAACTAGAACCAACTTGTGTATTTTGTTTTAGAAATTCAAACTTATATATATATATATACAGTATATACACTGTTTATGTTTATTTTTAAACATTTTCTTACAAATTGTCTTAGTTTTACTTGTTACATCCTGTAAAGCAGAGGCCCAGTCAGTTCTGATTTGGTCAACTTCGAGCTAGGGTTGGGCAATACTGGCAAAAAAATGAATCATGATTATTTATAGCATTTAGCTGATGATTAWGTCAATAATAGAAGACAAATGAATTTTGCAAGATATTGGCCTTAAATCAGTTACCCTGTATTCTAAAATTACACTTACAATTCATCAAACTAACTTTCTTTTTAACAGCTACAGCCCACTCCGTACCGTCTCCTTCCAGCGCTTACTTTGCCGCTTGCAAGGGACAGATTGACTGAGAATTCTCAGCTGAGAAGATTTGTTTCAACTATTCACCAGAAGTTTGTTGTAGAAGACGTGACTTTTATTATACTCTGATACATGGAAATTTTTCCTGTGACAATAAGTTCATACTGTCGTGCAACTGTGTGTTGTCAACTTTGCTGTTGTACACCTTACAAATAGATAGGACCTTACAAAGCCAAACTTGTTCCATACAACAGATTTTTAAATTGTTTTGGAATGACCTACTCCGTGCTGCCTTCCATCCTTACTGTTATGTTATGGGCTCACAAGCACACTTGTGGGGAGTGTGTTGTACACAGTTGAACACAAAAATGTCATCATCATGCAGCACTAATCCCAGTAATGGCACTATTGAACACAATATGATTTAGCACATGCCTACATCTAGCATAAAATGATACCCAACAACCGGATCAACCATTTTGATCCAATAATTGGTTAACCAATCCAACCTGTGACATACCAGCATTAACCCAGCAGCTGAGCTATCAAAATAACCTTGCAGTTTTCAGTGTTTAGAAGTTCTCTCTATACACAAAATCCTAAACTTAAATGTTTTGGTTGCAACGTGACATGAGGTTTGAATAATACACTGTGTTACACATAAGTCACTGTGAAAACATTCTGTGTTGCCTTTTTCTGTTTTCTCAAATTTAAAAAGTCAAAGAGAATGACAATCATGCAAATAAAAACCAAAATATCTGGAATCTTKGGATATATTTTACTAATTGATATAGTTTTGCTTTTTTTTAGACTAAAAGGAGGATTTAATCTTCTTCAGCTTGTTTTATCATCAGGCATTTCCAAATGTATCACAAAAATTAGGATGACTAAAGAGATCAAGGTGACTTCATTAGAGCTCCTTCAGGGGTACAGACCAGAAGACATGGCTTTATTTTTAATGTTTTTGCTACAGAAAGAAATGACATAACTTTTTTTAGTGTTTGTTTGTTTTCAATGTGATAAGGAACCTATTCCGGTTTACACAGATAAAGGCCACAATAGAATAAATGTGGCATGGTGGTGTCAAGCAATGATTTAGCTTCTGTACATTTTAACATGAATCGTGCTTTTAAGTACAAAGAGGCTAAAAGGCCAGCAATATATATTGCACTTAGAAAAGCAACATTTTTTTACCCAACTTCACCTTATGTACTTGCCCGTGAATGCCAGTGAATGTTTAAAAATGCAATAAATTCAAACTCTCAGAATCTGCAACAGCAAACAAGGCTTTGTTTCTCTGCTCATTTTTAACCATCAACAAATCTTAAGGCATCAGCAATATAACTGCTAAGGAATCATAAACTCCCCAGCAACGAGCACAAAAGACCCTGCTGTACCGAGGAAAAAAATAAACAAAAATGGTGGAGGGCGAGTGCAGAATGACAAACAATGATCTGTATTTTTTTTATGTTTTTTAACTTGCATGCTGCAGGCATTCCATGATGCTCCTAACTGAATGCACTAATAACACTGCCTCCATTCGCTGAATGAGCCACTTTGTCTCACTGTTAAGCTGCTTTGCAGAACCAGCAGACAACTGTGATGCTAGCATGAATAGCTGCGTTTCGCTTTTAATGGTCCCCTGTGAGCCACTCTGCTGATATAYTGTGATGCTAAGATGCACAATCATAACAAATTACCACTGTAGTATGATTATAACATTGTGTCTTAAAAAACAAATGTTTGTTAAGTTATCATAAACCGTATTGAAATATAGTTGTAAATTACAGCTACAGTGTAACTGTAGCTGCTGTTAAGCTAACAATACATGCCTAAATTTAGCAATATTAGCCAGGCAAAAAAATTTTATAATAAATATTTACGACATGAATGCAATTAGTTTTACACAAAATCTGATATTACATTAAAAATGCAGTACTTTATGTGGAATCAMAAGGAACAATGTGGTTGAAGAGGCCATTGTTCCTTTCATGGCATTATAAATCCTTACAAAAATCATTATTTAACTGTTTCAAAGCTGTATTTCTTAAATTTGCTGAAGAATTAAAGCAGTGGGAGCTAATTACAGGCATTCTTCGCTGAATTAAAGTTCAGTGTGTGGTAAGACCGTGCTCGCCTTTGTCCTGATCCCCAAACTGATCCCATACTTATTCCCCACAAGGTCAGAGGTCAGTTGGTTAATTAGGGGTCCAATCAGTCTTTAGATAAACTCATCTGAGCCTAATATTTGCACTTTCTGAGGTTCAGCAGCTCTGCCTGGTACCCCTGAGCTTTGCAGGGGACTCTGCTAATCTACGCACAGACAGGGGAGCAGGTTAACCCAGCTCAACAGCACCAAGCTGGAACGGCCTTTTCATTTCAAGACTTCAGTCAAAGAGGAATGCCTGTAAGCTCTCACACAAAAAAGAAGAAAAAAATAACTGAGAAATTACTGCAAATTGATGTATTGTACACAGGGTGCGAGTTCAGGGAGGGGGCGTCCTAAACCTCTCAAAGAGCTGCAGATTATGGGGAGTAAGTAGTGTTTRTGCTGCATGGCATAAGGTAATGTTTTGAATGGATATACTGTATTTGTGCTTCCCTGCAGGGCCCGTGCCACACACATCCAAAGCATGATGAAAGCGGGGCTGAGTGCAAAACCATGAAATCTCCAAATGTGCTGTAGATGGATTAAACCTAACAAAGATTTTCTCAACAAGTCCCATTCTTATACTGTTTTTAAAGAGTTTACAACAATTAAAACTTTGGTCTATCACTCATTCAAAAGCTCCTCGTTTGATTGTGCAGGCTCTAAACAAGTCCTTCTAATCTACAGAAGATTTTAAAGTGGGAGGTGGAACTTTAAGGTGAGGAAAGGACAACTTTACTGGTCGAGTGACTGGAAGTCAGACAATATCACAACAGTTTGAATTGTTTTTTTTTTTATCAAAAAAAAGTTAAAGTTATGGTATAATGTGACTTGGTTGTAAAGATTGCTCAGGAAGAGAAATAAACTGAGTGCTGAGGGTGCTGCACCCCAATGTAGATATAAAAATGATGTGTCAAAAACCAAAGAAATGAATGAACAAATAAAGAAATAAAAACTAGTGTGTATAGTTTATATTCTATATGTGTATATTATTTATAGTATGTTTTATGACAGTAAAAGGAATCAGGTTCCTGTTAGGTGTCGTAGATCTCTTTTTTTTTGTTACACAATTTCTCACAGCACCTCTTGCATAAACCATGTTTCCATGACTGTCTTACTCTTTCCTAGAGTCAGGAAAYGCAACATTTGGCTATTTTGGTTAAACTGTGGATGATAATGAAGCCAAAAAATGTCATCCCATAAAAACACAGTACATCTCAGACAGTAAAGAAGTAAAACAAGCGGATGTATTTATTCATATTTGGTCTACTGAGAAAGTTCATTTGTCTTAGACTTGGAAATCCTTTGACAACTGCCTGTAATGCAACTCTAATTTTCCCCCTTTAATTGTATGAGATAAGGTTGATAGTTGCCAATAAAGAGAAGCTAAGGCTTATTTCATGATGAACAAAATTCAAAAACTAAGGACTTTTGATTTGTTGATTCTAAAACAAATGCAGTTTAATATTTCTGCAGGTCTTTTCTGCTTTAATGGATTAATGAACTTGTGAAAAACAAGTATCATTTGGTGTCTCAGCTAAAGGAAGGATCTACAGCTGTAAACAGAAAATTTGATGACAGCGTGTAAAAAGTTTTTTTTTCTATTAAAAGAAGCACACAAAACATAAAACATTTCAAATATATACAGAGCCTGTTCAGATAAAAATCCAAAAACGAAAAGAAAAATGAGCAAGGAAAGTAAAATCTGAAAACAGACAAAACTAGCAAAAGTGTTAAAACTCGGAGTTTCACAACAGTCCGCTTACACAACCCTGCCTGACACAAGTCTTCAAATAATTCGACAAGTTTCAATCGTTGCAAAAAAAATGATCACAAGCAAAAGAGAGAGTAAAACTTACCAAAAAGTCTGATTGAATTCTACGGTTAAAAACAATGCGCTCTACTCATACAGAAAATCCTAACGAGTCTCCTGTCCCTCAGACTGCAGAGAATCAAAGCTACGAAAAGATGTGAACGTAGCCGAGCAAATAGGATTAAAGATGGCTAAATCCAAACGGCTGGAGGCACAGCMTGCATTAAAGAGGAATTCTCTCAGGAAAGATAATCCCCATATACGCATTTTACCACACTTCACTCACTCCCCGTGCTTTCTCTTTAGTTTTTACACACAGGCATAGTAAAACCACGATTGCCTGACTGTCTTCGCACGAGTCACCAAACTCTATTAATACAGCCGGACCATTCAGGCTGCGGCCGTGACACACACATTTTCCTGACATGGAAACTTTATACAGAAATAAGGCTGCCAATTAAAGCCCCCTCAACAGCTGGAGCCACGGCTGCTTACCTTAAGCACCTCCATGGGCACCTGTGCAGCAGGTGGTAAACTGACGGGGACGCTGACGTTGATGGCGGGGGTCTGGGCCGCCGTGGTCTGTGGGTACTGGGAGGACTGCTGCCTCTGCTGCTCGCGCCGCTCCTGCTCCTGAAGCTGCTCYCGCATGAGCTGCTGCCGCAGCAGGATGCGCGACGCCATGGCCGAGGAGCTCAGCGGGGGCTTGGAGGAGACATGTTGGTCCGAGGGGCTGCTGCAGAGGTGGGGGCGGATGGGGGTGGGGGGGGTCGGAGAGATGCCATATGAATGATCAGAGAATTAGAAAAAAGTGAGGTGAAGAGAGGCAAAAACGATGCGGAGCGAGAGTTGAGAGAGAGGGCAGACGGAGGTCATGCAGGGAAGATGAGGTCAAGCAAAAAGAGAGAGAGAAAAACCGATGATTCAAGGAGGACTGATGGTATTATGATGAAAGAAAAGATCAAAAGAAAAGTCTTGTTTACACAGCTCCAACAGATAAATCACCAACTATCTGATCTAGTTGAGTAGGTAAGTTGTGTTCTTTGTTGAGAGTTGGTCAAACAAGCCCTGAAGCACCTTTATATCCATTTGTCTGTTCATCTCGTCTCCATCCTGATTTCTGATTTGTTAGTCTGCCTGGAACTTTGGAAAACCCATGCAGTAATTACATTAAAACATGTGGCTCAACTAAGAACAGAATGCTAGACTTTTGGCTGCTGTACACTGTATGACGTAGACAAATTTTGTAATTAAAAGAAGCTAAAAAAAACAGGGCAACCTACAGGGTAGAGGGACTTGAGAACCAGGACATTACACCWGTAACTTGGAGGGATGATGTCACACTGACTAACTTTTAATCAGAATCTCCAAGTTTCTGAGCACAAACAAAAAATTTGTAGAAGTGTACAGATAAATCAGCCAGCTGATCTATCAGCACAGATTTCCTTATTTTGGGAGATTGGAGAACGGCTGATACTTAGACAAGATCAGCTTCTCAYCTACCTCCACAAAGGTCTGAAAATCTGTCACTGTCCCCCTTTTTGCTCTGCTGTGAGCACTACYTAATGTCCAGTTAAAACAAGGTTGTAGTGTTTCATGGGTATTGTTCAGTGTTTTTGAATAAAATAAGATTAAAACATTGATGGTGTATTGTGACGTTTTAACACCTGACAGTGTCAGTTATTTAAAAAAATCGGCATCGGCCACCATTTTAATCTGCAAGTCAGACTTTTTAAGATCAGTGATCAGCCAGTAAACTGCAATAGCTGCACCCCTAAAAAGCTGATTTGGTTTCAAGCTGTCTGTACTTTCTTTTGAATTTCCTTTCTGAACTTTTTCCATTTTTCTTTTTTTTTTTATTTTTGCCGACAAAATCCTCTTATGCCTACAAAATTTACCCTTCTTTCATAATTCATAGAAATCAAGGAGCAGGGTTAGATCGGTGGTCGATGTCGCAGTCCCGTAATCCTAAGGCTGAAGATCGCAGTAAAAACATCTGACTGATGATCTTTGTATCTGAGCTCAGAATTTTCTCTTAAAAACTAGAAGCAAACACTATTTTTTAATTAATTTTTCTCATATCTCCTACATAAAACACTAAAAGCAGTAACATTCATCAGTGATGACCAGATATTTCTGCCATTTCCAGTTCAGACATTTTTCTAGTAAAACTTAGTTTTCACTGGCAGGGTCTGCTTAGTTTATAATTCTGTCTGCCTATCTTATTAAGAGTGCCATTAGGGAAGGAAAAATGCAAATGAAGGTTCCCGTGGTGCTATTAATGAGCCACTGGGAGCAACTTTAACATTTCTTTTGATACTGGTTGACACTTCAGTTTATAAATCAAAACAGCAGCATTTTGTTAGATTAGATTATTACAAAAGAAAACCCCAAATTACTGCAGGATTTGTAGAAGAAAGTTGATGTATTTTTGGATTTCAGCAGTAGTTGCATTGGCACCCATCAGGATTWTTTTTCACATTTTCTAGTTTAAAAATCCAAAAACAAAAAACAAAACACTTCAGATTATTTCATGAAACATTTTATATTTGTTGGTTTAAACATCCCAGAAAGAGGAACACTCCACTAAACAACTGCCTCAGTTTTCCCACTCCCTCAAATTTAGACGGCAACGACCCAGACAGTCTTGCRGTCCTAAAATAGAGCGACTCTGCTGAAGCAGAAGTTGTCGGGATAAAGGCAACATCGAGTGAGTGATCCTTTTGATAAAACCCAGGAAAACGTCTGGCCAATCCAGCTGTGCAGTAATCGTACTAATTAGCCTGTGCGGTCTGCAGGCGTTATTCTCTGGGTGTTGAGCCCTCGACATACCATAACTCTCTGCCCGACACTGCGTTTAGTCTCACGGTCTGATGCCACACAGGCTGAACCCTTCACCTGCTGTCTGACAGAATCATTTTTAACTTTACTATATTTCATTTCAAACATGAAAATCTGAAATGGCAAAACAAAGACTGGGTTTCAGCTAGCTCTTAAATCCTTGCAGCAGTTTGAGTCTCTCGGTCTGACAACTTTTTCTTTTTTCCCCACTAAACTTGCTTTGTACTCAACAGAATCCTGGTTTAACTCTGGCTGTGTGGCTTTTGTGTTACCTTTCATCCTGGAAATTACAAACAAAACTCCCTGGATCTGAGGTTAAAGCTCTCTATTTCTCCCTGCCACAGATGAAGGATTTGTAGTGTTTTGTATTTATTCTGATCCACTGTTTGAACTTCTACACACTGCAGTTCTTTCATTTCTTTTTCACTGARTTTTCCAGGAAACAGGTAGATGATATTATATTACAAACTATAATTCAACTAAAACAGGAAACCTAAATGCACCAGTTTTATTGCAGTGTGAGGTCCGAAAGATCACAGACATCTCTTATTGACATCCCAATGTCTCCAGATTCTTAAAATCTTTTGATATTATGACATGCAGCTGATGGGATATTGAAAATTGTTTCCATTTTTTCTTGGAAGAAACATTACTCTGAAATTGTTTCACTATTTTTGGACAGTTTCTTTTTTAAACTGGTCAGCATTTGCTCTTTACTTTTGACAGATTTCGGTTTATTTAAAATGCTGTTTATAACTGGGATTTTCAACTAGCGGTTGGCAGGCCACTTCTGGCCAGCATGTGACTTCAATTTGACCCAACAATGAGCTCATATATATATATAT